CTTCTGGATCGTCTTTCCAGAGGTGTCTCGCTAATGGATGGAGCAATTCTGATTTTAGATGCATCCGTAAGTTTACATAGATTGGTTTATCCCTTTTAGGGAATATCCTTTTTTGGGCACTCCTAACATATTTCAACATTTCTTTCAAAATATATCTATGATATTTTCACACCACGGAAGTGTCCAAAAAGTTGGAAGTTCTTACATCATTACATCTTTCCATGATCTTGATTTTTTCAGTGCATGCCTAAAAGTACCAAGACCGTTAACTGTAAAAGCTGTTTTCTATCATTTCTGAAACTAATTCAATCATCTCTTATCCCTAAATCTATTTGCCTATGGTTTCCTCTATTTCCTCATCTCCACGTCTCGTACATAATATTAGTCTTCGTAACTGTGTTCTTTATACGTTTTAGCCAAGAGTTGTGGTGATCCTGGTAGTCCTGTCAATGGCAAAAGACAAAGTTACGTCTTTACATTTAAGAGGAAGGTGTATTTCAAATGTAATCGAGGATATAAGCTTGATGGACCAGAATACAGGCAATGTCAGGCCAACCAGAAGTGGAGCGACAGGACACCAACCTGTAAACGTAAGATAAATTTTCTCTCCTTTTTTATGTTTCCTTGCTTTTCTTTCATCAACATTAATTTTCTCATTGCAGCGATAGACTGTGGTCGTCTGGAAGATCCAAAAGACGGCGAGAAGGTAGAAGAAACTTCTACAGGCTTTGGAGGTAAAGTCGTGTTTGATTGCAAGAAAAAAGGCTTTGAAATAAAGGGATCTGCACAACGTGTTTGTCAAGAGGATGGACAGTGGAGCGGAATCAATACTACATGTGAACGTAAGTATTTTCAAAACTACTTGGTCGCTGGAGGGGGATGGAATGACAACAGCACATTTTAAAACACAATGAAATTTGGTTTGAAAGAACAACAATATTACGCTAAACATCGCGAAAGAAGAGAATTAAGCTTAAATTTAGCCTAAATTTCTATCATTTTAGCCGATGTAAACAAACCGTGACGTCATTGTGAAATAGGGCAATTATAAAGGGTTTAGGTTAATTTTTGATAAGTATTTCTATTTTTTCAAAGGTGTGGAGTGCAAGATTCCTGCAACACCTCTTAAGGGTGAAAAAGAGCCAGAAAAGAATAA